AAAAAAAATGTACCTAAACATAGAGTAATTTTATTATTACTCTATGATCAATTGTTAATTTTTTTTTTATTGAAACTAATTATTAGAGTACCTAATTAGTAATTATTTACTTTCACACGGGTTTTTCTCATTAAGGCCCAATAGCTCACAAAAAATAAAGTTACGATGGTATTCAATTACGTTCAATTACGAAATAAATATTATATAAATAATATTTTTATTTATCTAATAGGTAACTATAGGTAAGTTTGAAAAAAAACATAACTTGTGTGTACAAACGGCATCTACAATCTTATGATTATAAAAATAACAAAATGTGCTCTGTTGTACTGTAGGTTACAAGTGGGTCACTGTATATTGGATGGTATTAAATTTGAATTCAATGATATAATATCATTGTATAAGAAAAACGATTCTGAGCAGAGACCGTATGTCAGTCTAGGTTTAAGACATATTATATACTTAATCTTGTTTTAAATTTTCAATTCTTAGATATAAAAGTAGAATATTTTATAAATTTTTAACTACAAAATAATTATTCAATTTAAAATTTGAAAAATTTGTAGGAAATGCTAATATAAACATTCAGTGAAATGTTCATGTATCTACAGTTATTCATTTTTGAATTACAACAAAATAAGGAAATTGCTACACGATAAATCGAGTGAATATTAAATATTGAAAAAATTTGAATTTCAAACGCTGATAGAAATTTAATTAGACGTTCCGGTAGAGATTTTTTTATTGATAAAGGTAGACAAACTTATGAATAATCTTGTATTACATTTCAAATCTTAGATTTAAAAAGAACAATTTTTACGAATTCTTAACTCAAAATAATTTGATAATTTTCGTGATTTTTCCATATTTTGTTAATTTTTGAACTCTAAATGCTTATAAAAAGAAACTGTGACTAAGGATTTATAGGGAATAAGGATAATATTTTTCATCTGCCTTTGAAATAATATACTAGGAGCCTTGTATTAAATTTTCAACTATTTTTACACAACAAATAATTTTTTATTGACATTCATAGAAAAAAAGACTAATAAAATTGGAAACAGAAAATGTTCCTAAACAGTTAAAAAGAAATCAAAATATTTTGAAAATTGTATCGTGTATAGAAAATTCAAATATCCACAACCAGTAAAAATTTCATGTATGTACGGTAATTTGTTTTAAAGTTACACCAAAAGCCAAAATCGATTTTGTCAAAAACCGATTTTGCGTAAAAATTCCCGTTTTTCCTTAATTTGTATGTTGTTGTAAAGACTCTTTAGAAAACTATTGGGGATTTTAAAATTTGACCTCCCGAATGCAACAACAATATTCATTTTCCAATCGTAAAATCAATACATTTTTCCTTCCACTCAGAATCTAAAATGATTATGAATTTAAATTCTTGGTTTTCCTTATTTTTAGATTCTGAGTGGAACGATGAATGTATTGATTTTACATTGATGTTACATAAATATCAATAAAGTTTTATCTGTTGGGCCAAAAAGTGTAAAAATGTAATATAGAAGGCTCCTGATATATTGTTACAATATCGGTTGAAAAATATATTAAAAAAATACATACACACAATTTTTTTTTATAAGCATTTAAAGATCGAATGTTGACAAAATTTATGAAATTTAAAATTGAATAATTATTTTTCAGTTAAAAATTTATAAAATGTTCAACTTTTATATCCAAGGATTTAAAATTTAAAACAAGATTCCACGTAAGTAGTTAGTTCTGTTACCAAAAAAATCTAAAAAATACATGAGCAAATTTTATTTTTATAGTCATTTTAAGTTCAAATTTGGATGAAATTACATAATAAAAACCTAGAATAACTATTTTAGTTATTTTGTTGTGAATTTATAATATTATTCGCGGGTAGGTACTTGAAACTTCTAAAGTACATTATTATATATCTATGATAGTATCAGGGTTTGTTGTTGATGTATATTGTGAAATGATTAATTTGGAATTTATTATAGGTACCTACCTATTATGGGTCAATATTTTTTAATACCATAGATAAGTATATAGGTAATATGTCTTATACCTAGACTGAGTAGTCTGACATACCGTCTCCACACAGAATCGTTTTTCTTATACAATGATATTATATCATTGAATTCAAATTTAATACCATCTATTATACTGCAGTGACCCACTTGTAACCTACTGTACAGCAGAGCGACACCCACTTGCCCACCTTTTTTTTTTTTGTTTTTCCCTGCGCTTTTGAAAATTACTTTTATTTTTAAATTTTGAACTCTCCAATGCACCAACAATATTCACTTTCCCATCAAACAAGATACTGAAGTTGAAAATCGAAGCAATATTTCGACTAATTATGGTGTACACACATAAAAATAAAATAGAAATTTAAAAAATAAAAAAACACACATCATTTTAAAACCAATACATCATAGCTCTGCTCAGAATTTAAAAATAAATAAATATCAAAATAAATTAGCCATGTTCTCTAATAAAAAAAGTTAAGGAATATTAAACAAATTTGGAATATTATTGGAGAGGTAGTTAATAAGAAACTAAAAAAATCAAAACTAATAGATACTAACAATTGATCCATAATAATTATTAATTATATCAATATTGAATATGATATGATTGATATAGGTACCTACATATTACATAATAATACCTAGGCAGTAGGTAGGAAAGTACTTAGAATTCAAGTAAAATTAATTTATAAATAATAAATATAATATAAAACTATTATTTTACATAAAAGTCAATTTAAAATGGTTTTAATTGTATTTATTGTTGCCATAATTTATCTAACGTACATCCTAGATTTTCGATTTTTATTTTTTATGACTACACCAAGGCATCTTTATTTAAAAAATCAGATTTCTTTATAAATACAATACTGAATACATATAGTGGGTGAATACATGATAAATAATAATCAGTAAATAATACATACTTAAACACTTATTTTTAATACTAAATGGACATTTAAGAAATAAGAATATTAATGTACTATAATACTATATACTAGTATAGTCTGTAATACTAGTAGGTATGTAAAATAAATGGGTACATTTCATGAAAGAACAAATGATACAATATTGTTGGGCCGTTGGCATAAAGATATAAAATAACATAAGTTAGGAATCAATATTCAATAGTTATTGTTAAAATATTTTACTATTTTTTACTTGTGTAAAATATTTATTATTCATATTTTTACAATATTGGATATTTACTTGTTTTCTCATGTAGGTAGTGGTTTTGTTATTTTATTGTTATTCAAAAACAAATAACTGTAGATACATGAACATTTTACTGAATGTTTATATTTTCATTTTCTATACACCATAAAATTTTAAAAATATTTTGACTCTTTTTAGGCTGTTTACGGAAGTTGTCCATTTTCGATTTTTTTAGTTTTATTTACTATAAATATCAATAAAACTGTATTTGTTGTGTAAAAAAGCGTGAAAATTTAATAGTTCCTGATATGTTGTTACAATATCAGTCCAAAAATATTAAAAAATACATAGGCACAATTTTTTTTATAAGCATTTAAAGTTCAGATTTTGACAAGATTTATCAATTTTAAAATAATAAATGTAATAATTATTTTGTAGTTAAAAATTTATAAAATGTTCAACTTTCATAGCTTAAGGATTGAAAATTTAAAACAAGATTTCACGTAAATAGGTAAATATATAAATTACTTTATTCACAATAATATCATCAAATATACTTAGTAATATCTATAGGCTGACTGACCGTTTTAGCTCACAATCGTTTTTGTAATGTAATATCATTGAATTCAAATTTAACACCATCTATTTCACTATTACAGTGACCCACTTTGTAACCTACTGTACAGCAAAGGGACACCCACTTGCCTAACTTTTTATTTTTAAAATAGAATATAAGATTCCTCATTAGTTTGTCTACCTTCATCAAAAAAAAAAATGTCTACAAGAAAGTAAAATTAAATTTGTATGATCGTTTGAAGGTAAAATTTTTACAAAATTGGATATTCATTCAATTTCTCATGTACCTAGTGATTTTTTTATTTTGTTGTAATTCAAAAACGAATAACCATGGACACTTGAGATTTATATCATATGCTTATTTTATCAATTCCTATACGCTATACTTGATAAAATTTTCAAAATATTTTAACTTGTTTTGAAGTGTTTACGGGGATGGCTATTAATTGAAGGAGTGGTTACTGCTGCCGCCGATGCACGCCGACGCTACGTATCGACGATGTCAAAAGTAATGAACAAGTAGAGATTACCACATGCGACCCTGGTACCGCCGACTCCGTTTCGTGAAGCGTGAGTGCCATTATCGAACAACAAAAGCATATTATTATTATTATTATCAACATTGATATCAAAAAAGGTGGGCAAGTGGGTGTCGCTCTGCTGTACAGTAGGTTACAAAGTGGGTCACTGTAATAGTGAAATAGATGGTGTTAAATTTGAATTCAATGATATTACATTGTATAAGAAAAACGATTGTGAGCTAAAACGGTCAGTCAGCCCATATGTATCTTTAAGTAATAATTAAAATTGAGAAATTGCCGTCAGACGTTGATTTATACAAAATAGATAAATAAATAAACCTTATTATTAATAAAATTACAATACAATTATTGCAATTATTACAATACATAACGTTATAATATTATCAAAGTTGAATATATATATATATATATTATATATCCACCTTGAATATTACATTATCTTAGAGTATAGCAACGTTATCTCCTTTAACAATATTGTTTTATTTTTTCTTATCATCACGTTGAATATAATAATATTATAATAACAATAATAATACAAAATCATCATAATATACAAATAACGCAATCGTCCGACGTCCAGAATTGTCGGCAATCGGCATTTCGCCATTTGCCGATCGCCGTTCGTGAAGATCGAATAGGCTGGTAACGACCAAACGGATTGTCTGGTAACCACTAGCTTGCCTGCGATCGCAATTTCCCATCAGTCATGTCACGGGAATACTACAATTTGCGATTTGTCGTCACCACACCGACATTGTCCATCACCGAGTACAACTGCCTGAAAGAACCTTGTAACCAGGTAAGTGCAATTGTTGAAATGCTTTTTTGAAAAAATCTTGTACTTATGTGTGAACGGTGAACGCTGTGCGCCGAGGCAACGAAGCACGTTCCTTACAACACTTTGGGGTTTTATGATGCCTAGACGTCATGGTGGAATTTTATTGATGGTGGGATACATTATGGTACCTAATCAATAACATAAAACAAAAATTGAAATATTTACAGTCACATAATAATTATATGTAGATTGTAGGTAAGTACTATATATTGTATTAAGCTGATAAAGAGTTGGTAGGTACTGAACTATATGCTGGGCATCATGGTTTATAAATGCTCAGCTCGCCACTGCAACACTGTTAGAGTTATTCTATATTAAATTATTTACATTTTTAACCAAAGTTGAAAATGTAGGTCATTTCGGTTAGAGGTTTCGTTTGTTTAACTTTTGATCAACAAATTAGAAAACTTTATTATGGGCTTTTTCTAGTACCATAAGCCCAATTAGGTGGTGGCTCTTGGTTCCTCCCCTAGCTTAGCCCCCCAAATATTTACCTAGACTCCACATAATATGTACAAATACAAACTATGATTAATATTATCATCAATACCAAAATTTTATTTACAAAGCAATTTTTGGCAACAAGCTATTTTTCTCATCACCAAATGTCATAATTCATAACGAGTTAATGAAACATTTTTTTCTAAAATAATGTCGACAAATTTGAAGTATTTTTTAATTTTAATTTTTAGTTTGTTCTAGAAATTTTAAAATTAAAAAAACCTTAAATTCGTTCACATTTCTTTTTTAAAATTATTTTATCAACTTGTTATGAAATATAAATCTGTTTTTTGCTGATAAGAAAAATAGCTTGTTGCCAATAATTGCCTGGTTAAAATTAAAGAAAATTTTAATATTGATGATATTAAACAAGTAGTTACTGAAGATGTGTACCCAAATGTATATAAATTGCTACAAGTAGCTTTTACCATACCTGTTAGTTGCACAACCTGCATAAGTTCATTTTCTTCAATTCGGCGATTAAAAACTTGTCAGAGAACAACAATGAGACAAGAACGATTTTAAAATTTATTAATATTGAATATCGAAAGAGATGTAACTAATAGTCTTTACACAAAAATTATTATTGATACATTTTCAACAACTAATAGAAAATTAGTATTGATTTAATATTAGTTTATGTGATTGATATTACTTTATATGCATATTTGAGTAAAAGTTAAATTATTATATGCCATAACTCATTTTTAATTCAACTTTTACTTTTAATTTTAATTAAAATTTTTTAATTCACTACCTAGTTTTATATGAATTTATTTGTGTATTGTTAGTAGCCAGCCAGTATATTAGTAGGGACTGCGGGGGCAAAGCCTACACGGGTCTATGCAGTTGATACCCCCCCCCCCCCCCCCCGAAAAAAAAAATTGACCCTAGTTGTGTATTATTTGATCACAAGTACGATTATTGTAGGTATGTTTACTTACACCATAAAATTATTTTAACTGAAATATTTAAAATAAAATAACAATTGTACTTTTTTTGAAAAATCTGTTTTACCTATATTTCTATAATTTTTTTTAGATTGGATTCCTAATTGGCGATAAAAAAATTAAAGTATCAAATGTTATAACTGATGAATCGTTAAACAATACCATCACAGAAGAAACAATATGTAATCAACAGTACTTTATAAATACAAATATTATTGGATACTTTGTTCTAAAAAATGTTTATTATTTTATTTTTGATTCTAGGTGTGCATGCTTCATATCCACTACCAGATTTTTATGAACAACTATGTTCAAACCCATTACAAATAGACTACAAAAAATTGAAATACTTCCTACAGAAATGTCCAGCAAATTATGAGGTGAGTAAATAAACTATTTTATACCTTGTCTAGATTAGATTTTATGTTAAATTAATTATTTACATCTACTTTGTTTTAGAAATCTATTGTTGGTTGGTACAGATTTCGTAGAAATGCTGTATTATCTCCCAGTATTGCTGATATTCGTTTCCATGCACAACTCAGTAATATTTTTGATAAAATGAGCGTATCATCAAACAAATTTCTATTTTGCATGTTGAACCATAACTATATTGGTTCCATGGATCATAAATTCAATCATATTTTTTACAGATGTGACACTGGGTAAATACTATAAAACGTAATTAAATACCTAAATTGTAGACAATCAATAATATACTATTATTTAAAGCAGTGTCGGTCTAGCCATGGGTCTAATAATTTTTTTTATTTGCTTGGTGTGGTTCCTCTTGGTCTATATAAGGAGTAGGGACTCCACAAAGTATTCATCAATGTTTTTAACATTAAATAATTTTAAGTTAAATTTTTTCTTTACAGGGCCCCAAAGCCATTCATTATGGGGCCCCTTAAAAAAAACGGATATGTGGGCATTTGGTGTGCCAGGCCGATACTGGTTTCAAGTGTATTATGAATACATTTTATATTAGTTCATTGTGAACATTTTAATTTGAAAAATTATTTTCTTTTCTTTAGAAAATGCTTGAACCCAGTTAAAGTTGATATTGTGAATTTGAGTACAAAACCTTTCATCGAAGATGATAATCTTGGATATAAGACAAACATTAATTTAATCGATAACTGCAAAGCATACACAGACACTATAAATAAAGTATTTGGAAATGGGTAAGTCAACAACTAAAAACATTTAAAATAGTAGTAGATTATATTATTATTTCCAGTGCAAAATCGATTTAAGATTAAATTATTGAAAAAGTAATGTTTGAGGAACTTATGAAATGACTATGTTGTAAAATACCTGTTTAATCATTAAGTTAATCATATCATCTTGTAAATTTGCATGATTCTCATTAGGAAAAAATAGACTTCAATTCACTAAAAAGGCTTGATATATTATTAGGCCCAGCCTCTATAAAATACCACACATGCACTAAAATGCACTAAAAAAAATTATTATTTTTTTTTTTTATTCAAAATCAAATTTAATATGCTAACCTGATAAGCTTAACTTGAAGTGAGGTTAATGAGTTACGATTTCAAAAACAAATTAAAATTAGTATACAATATTTTATGCATACACATACACTGTACTGTTATGAATATCTTATGAGATGATATCAATTATAATCGATAATTAAGCATAAATACATTTTTCTTGTTGCTCCCACTATTTTAACAAGTATAATAACTATAATTTACATAACTATAAGAGTGAATCAAATGTTCATTGAAAGGTATAATATTAGGTACCATTTCTTATTAAATGCGCAAAAAAAATGTTTACTTTTTAATTCATTACCACTTCGGTTACCCTTAATTTTCCTTCAGTTTGTACAGTTTCTCATGTGTTACTTTAGAATAGTAAGTATGCATTGGAGTGATGGGTCGAATTATTTGAATCTCAAACCAAACCAAACCTTTGATGTTCGATTCAGTTTGAAATTCAAACTCTGTCAAACTTTTCGGCCTCTATTGTTCAAATACCAAATATTTGTAAAATTCTTCAAAAGTTATTTAAAAAAATGTATAATAACTATTTACACTTGAGTAATAATTAGACCATTAGAGATCACATACCTACATCAATTGCTATTTTTATCATATTTATTGTAACAGGAAAAATCTATTTTGGTTTACCAATGGTAATATTCCGATACCGTAGCTGTGTTGATAAAAACGTGTTCATAACTTACATTCTATACTTCTATAATAGGTAATACATGGTAAAAAATGTTGCGTTCGAGTTCGAGTTTGACTTTAAATGATTCTATGTTTGTTTCGGTAGAAAATATTAAGGTTCGGCAACGTTTTTTTTTAAGGTATTCAAATTTGTGGTATCAAAATTTGAAATGTTAGCTATGAAAGGGATAACTTTTATGAATTCTTCCTGACAATTAGTTTGAACATTTTCGAAATTTTGATGAATTTTTTTAAAGTACAAACTTTAAATGTATATAAAAATAATTAAGTCTATTTATTTTTAATATTTTTGAACTTCCATTAATGACATTTATAAGGAACCTAGTATCAAATTTTCAAACTTTTTTTATCAAGTAAAAAAATTTGTATTGAGAATAATCTTAAAAAAAATCTACAAAATTCAAATAATTTCTCTAGCTTTATAACTAGCTCAAAAAGAGCCAAAATATTTCAATAACATTACCATTTATGGAATATTAATAGTGCTAATATAAATATTTTATTAAAATGTCATGGGTCTATGGTAATTAATATTTTAGTTAGTACAAAAAATTTAATTGATTTTTCAAAAATTTGTTACGTGAAGTAATTAATATTTGAGTTAGTACAAAAAAATTTAATTGATTTTTTCAAAAATTTGTTATGCGTAAAAATTACCACTTTTTTTTGTTTTTCTTGATGCTTTTGAAAAATACTTGAAATTTTACAAAAGTACCAGCTACATTCACTTTTCTATGATAAAAGATGCTGATCTCAAAACTTGGTAACTAATATGTGGCTGACACACACACCATTTTGTAAAATCAATTCTACATTTTTTCCCTCTGCTCAGAATCTAAAATGGGGAAATATATTATGATTATATTTGTTAAATATTCTTTTATTTTATCTATAAAATATAACAAAAGCTGCAAAGTAAAACTTTGTTTTTAATTTAACCATTTTACAAAACAAATTTTTATCTTACCTAGATAACCTCACAACAATAAAAAAAAAAAAAAAAAAAAAAACAATAAATACAATTTTCAAATATTTATTAAATGGTCTTATTCAAAATTACAGGAAAGAACAGTGTTCAAAAGTCTCTGTGTACAACATGAGAACTGCTTTGCTTGAGGAGATGAATAAAATGGTTAAACGGATAGTAGAGAATGAACAAGAAGTTATCAAACTAAACACATCTATAGAAGCAAAAAAACAAGAGATAGAAAAGAAAAAGAACTCTAGGCCATGTATTCCTAAAATATAATGGTTTTATAAGAAAAAAAATGAATATGTTTGTAATTTTTTTATAACTACATACTTCCTTATTTAAAGCTTACAATTTTTAAACGCTTATTATTATTATTATTATTATTATTATTGTGTACTTTAATGTTTCAATTCAGCAATTTTTGCTATAAAATAAAATATAAGTTACCTTTATGTTTGTATTTTTTTTAAATTATGAATATAATAATACGCTTACTTATAATGGGATAAACGTTAATAATATAATATTGTATTAAGAGGATCCAAAACGTACTATTTATAAGGAGTTCTGTATAGGCAATATTTGGGCTATATATTATTTTGTATGCTAAATTGATCAATCTTAATTCCAGCATGCCGATCAATCCAATTATGAGACTTTGATATAGAAATTGGGGTTTATTGTTTTAATTTGTTAACTTTTAATTCTACACACAACTTAACCAATTTATTTATCTAACAAATCAAAATAAGTTCACTGTTGAATAATTTTTAAAATTTAAAATTTTGGTATGTATAAGTCCAAATTGATTTATTGTTAGTAGGATCTCTATAGTCTATATAATATAATATATGATAAATAGTTACCTAATTAGTAGTTGTTATTAAGAGGTCACTTTATAGTAGTTGTTATCTATTTACAATGTATTAGTCTATCTATAAAATTGTATTATAGTTTACTTGACACGCCACTTTGAAGCACATAAAACCAATTTGTGACTTTTTATTTTAAGTTATTTTGTGAAGAACTAGAACTTTAGTTTCAAGAAATCCTAAAGATATCTATTTTATATATTCTAGGATTTTGAATGAAACAAATTTACAAAAAGCTCAAAAATTCCTATTTTGAAAGAGAAATTGAAATAATGTTTCCTTTACAAATTTTAACTATTAACCTTTAAAAGTAATAATTATTTGTGCAGGCTTTATTATGTTATAATATGTTTTACACATCTGTGACATTATTTGTAATGGTTTTATATTATTAATTGAATGTAAGATACTTATAATCTAATTACCGTTGTCATATATGTGTTAATATGTTATGAAATCATGAATACAACTAAAGCTTAATTAGGATAAATTACCCAATATGATTGCAATTAAATTAAATTATATTATACTAAACTGTATAATTGTAATTGTATCTATTTCATAGAAGTATATAGGTACTTAGAAAAGAATATAATGTATGCTTGGATACAAATATACAATGTTTCTCGTTTTTAGTTTGAATTGTATGCATTAATATTATGCTTAAGGGGTATCAAAATTATAGACGAATTCTTTGAAAATTTGTACTTAGATTAATGTGGTTAATATAGTGGTTTGAGAGTAAATACACCTTTTATCAATATTATAGAAGAAAAGTTAATCTGTGTTAAAGTCAATTTTCGATATTGACATGCACGTGTGGGAGTGCGCTGCTATTTATTTTATACACAGTCACTTACACTAACGATCACTAACTAAGATACACAAATTTACCCGACGCGCATTGAAATTTGCCTAAATTTAATTTCTTAAAAATGTACTGTATTGATACCTCTTAATTAAACATTGACAATTTGAATAAATGAATAAATAAATCAATCAATGAATAATCTAATATAATATTAAATAAAAAATAAAAATATAAATATAATTCAATTAGGTGGTCAATTTTAATGTAATTTTTTGTTTATTCCAAGCTGAACGGATATGATATTTCTCTTTTATGATCTGCTATACAGAATTTACCCATTGCGATATCTCCTGAGAGGCTGGGATAATAAATCTATCATAAATCTGTTTTTTTATTAGACTCAAAGAGACAAGAACTACACATATTTTATGTTTTAATTTAATCATATTGTTTAGTAAAAAAGAAACAAGTAATTTTTTAATTGTTTTTTTTTTGAGAACATTTTGATTTTTCAACATTTTACTTTTATTAATCTCTTGGTTTTTAATAATTTTTTCTATTTTATAGATAAAATGGCAAAAAACCAGTTTTGTCCGGGAGGTGAGTCCCCCTCTACAGCTAATGGGTATATCCTCAAGGGAAACTGTGTATATTGTGTTTTTTCTAGTTTGTTGCTGGTTTTTTTTACAAATGAATCTTTGCAGGAAAAACATTTTCAGATCCGTATATAAAATTGTCTATGTTGGCCTCTTTTCTGCAATTAACAAAACATGATAACATTGATAAAATATTATAATTTCATTTTCATTATAATACATTCATAGATTATAGCTATAAATATTATGTAATTCAGTAGTTGTATATACCTATTACCTAATATTTTCTTATAGGTACAATGTATATAGCCACATAGGGATAGGTTTAATAATTAAAAGTATTATTTATTAAGGCTGATTTGTTTTATTAATAATTATTAGTAAATTTACAATAAAATGGTTTAGTCGTGTTTTAAGGAAAGTAATATAGGCAATTTAACATGCTGACATTAAAATTACTTGTAAGTTTGTGCAAAGTAAATGGACCTTAGCATGTGTGAGTTTTATCTGTAATCGTTTTCCGTCAATATTTCCTATAAATGTCCTGAATTATAACAGTAGGCCTGCATAATACTGCAAGGTATATCGGTCTTTATTTATATTCGTCAGCAATGAACCAGCAGGCATTGACGGAGATTTTTAATTATGATCAACTTTTTCAATTTAAAAAAGTTGCTCTGCTGTACAGTTGGTTACAGGTAAGTCACTGTATAATGTATGGCATTAAACTTGAACTCAATGATATAATATCATTGTATAAGAAACACGATTCTGAGAGGAGACAGTATGCCAGTCTAGGTATAAGACATACAATATACTTATCTATGGTATTGAAAAAAAAAATTGACCAATAATAAATTCCAAATTAATCATATCACAATATCCATTAGGTATACTTATAACGCGTTATATATCAACAGCAAACCGTGATACAATCATAGTCCATACTCCATAGATATATAATAGTGTACTTTAGAAGTTTCAAGTACCCACGAATAATATTACACAATCACAACAAAAAAACTAAAATAGTTATTCTATATTTTTAGTTTCTGAGTGAAACAATGAATGTATTGATTTTACAATGATGTGTGTTTTTTTATTTTTTATTTTTTTATTTTTATTTTTTGTGTGTGTACACGATAAGTATTTGAAATAGTGCTTCGATTTTCAACTTCAGTATCTTGTTCGATTGGAAAGTGAATATCGTTGGTGCATTGGAGAGGTCAAAATTTAAATTTCCCAGTAGTTTTCAAAAGCGGCGGGAAAAACAAATGAAAAATTAAGGAAAAACGGAAATTTTTACGCAAAATCTGTTTTCGAGAAAATTGATTTTGGTTTTTGGTGTAACTTTAAAACAATAAATGACCGTAGATACATGAAATTTTCAGTGGTTGTTTATATTTGCATTTTCTATACACGATAACATTTTCAAAATATTTTGATTTATTTTGAACTGTTTAGGGACATTTTCAGTTTCCAATTTTATTAGTTTTTTTTTTTATGAATATCAATAAAAATTTATTTGTTGAGTAAAAATACTTGAAAATTTAATACAAGGCTCCTGCTACTATATTGTTTCAAAGACAGATGAAAAATATTAAAAATCGTTAGTCACAGTTTTTTTTTTTTAATCATTTAAAGTTCAAAAAATGACAAAATATGGAAAAATCACGAAAATTTGCAAATTATTTCGAGTTGGAAATTCATAAAAATTTTTCTTTTTAAATCTGAGATATGAAAATGTAAAACAAGATTTCTTATAAGGTTTCCTACATTTATCAAAAAAAAAAAATTCTATAAGAAAGTCAAATTAAATTTTTATGAGCGTTTGAAATTCAAATTTTTACGACATTGGATTTCTCTTGTGGTGATTTCCTTATTTTGTTGTAATTCAAAAACGAATTACTGTAGATACATGAAAATTTCACTGAATGTTTATATTATCATTTCCTATACACCATACAATTTTGAAAATATTTTGACTCTTTTTGAGCCGTTTACGGACATTTTCAGTTTTTAATTTTTTTAGTTTTTTTTTCTATAAATATCAATAAAGTTTTATCTGTTGGGCCAAAAAGTGTAAAAATTTAATACAAGGCTCCTGACATATTGTTGCAATAGCAATTGAAAAATATTAAAAATACATAGGCACAATTTTTTTTTTTAAGCATTTAAAGATCGCATTTTGACAAAATTTATCAAAATCTCGAAAATTATCAATCATCGTAATTAATAAATTATAAAATGTTCAGTTTTTATAGCTAAGGATTGAAAATTTAATAAAAAGATTCTCATAAATAGTTCATTCTGTAGCCAAAAAATCTAAAAAATTTATGAGCACAGTTATTTTTTACAGACATTTTAAATACAAATTTGGACGAAATTACATATTAAAAAACCTAGAATAACTATTTTAGTTATTTTGTTGTGATTGAATAATATTATTCTTGGATACTTGAAACTTCTAAAGTACACTATATTATATCGTCGCCTCAGAATGAAAAGGGTCTATATCAATTTTTTTGAAAAATGGTTTTTTTGCATATAATCATTTATAATTTTTTGTTGTATAATTCAATCTTGAAATCGGATCGATCCGTTGATTATTCAATGAGATACAGAGAATGAAAAGGTTCTAACTCATAAAAACGTGAATGATAAGCTCGAAACCGAGAAATATCAGTTACAACCTTTTCATTCTAAATAATAATTAAGAATGAAATAGTTCTAAACGGTCTTAAATGTAATATCTCAGAATGAAAAGGTACCGTTATAGTACGGTTATACCACTGGTACAATATAAATTATTATTGTGCCATAATAAAATATTATTCCAGCATAAATTTCCCGTCTATTTTTGTTTTGTTGAGGTGATAAGGTAGGTAATACCTACATGCCACATGTATATAGTACCTACTTTAGTATTATAAGAAATGATACATTTAAATTTGAATTACGTTTTTGACATTTTTCATTATTGTGAATTATGATTTA